GTTCTTTGCATTAATTGTGTGGACCATTATGGTGTTTTGTGGACCATTATGTCTATGTGTGGTGATCTAGATTTATGGTGTTGTTCTTTGCATTAATTGAGATCGTTATGTCAATGTTTGTTGGTGGTTATAGCCCATTTTCTGTATTTTATGCAGTTCAAATTAGTCAATTTTTATCTTGAAGAAAATGCATTGATAAGACACACGAAGCAAACAAGTGGTTAGATTTGGTAATGGTTTTGTCATATGCTTTTTTGGGAGCCCAAACAAATGAGAGAGATGATTAGAAAGCAAAAAGTGTGGGCCTGTTGGTAGCAAACATATTTCTCTTTCTTAATCTCACAACCAACACCATCACCAACATACCATCAGTATTCCTTTCAGACATAACAATTTTTACTTCTTCTTCCTTTGTTTGAAACTGAAAGCAATCCATGCCTTTCTTTGTTTCGATATCAGCACAATAACAACAAAAACTCGGGGATTTCTTTTTTAATTGTCCAAAAATACTTATAAATACAATCACATGGTGTGGGAAAGATTTTTTTAATTCCTTTCTATTTTCTCCGTTACTTAGAAATAATGCTATATGTTGTTATTAGCAATTATTCTATATTATTTTCTTTGATTTCTGTTTAATTGCTGATGCTAGCTTTGACAAGGAAAAACGTTGATTCATGAAACTTTTGATTAGTTATTGTTTGGGAATTCAGAAAACACAACATAACACTACTCAACTATGATATCTTTTATTAGAGATTTGAAGCTTAGGGATACACAAAGGGCTGTGATTTTCAGTTTTCTTCGTCCTTTTCAATAGAACCATAGAGACAATAAGGGTTAGTCTCAATATTTTTTATCTTTACATATCCACATTATCTCACCAATGCATTAGGTGGTAAATACGAAAAAGCAAAAAAATTTTAACCAAGTAGTCAAAAGCTGAATTTGTGGTAATGTGTATGAGATGGGATCTACATGAATGCAAGCAAAGTTTATTTTGTTTTGAGTTTTGTTCATTCTTGAAGTATATATGACTTACAGTGGTTACTGAAAAACTGAAAGAAACAACTGATTTTAATCTTTAGGTAACTGAGTCCACGGAATTCACGGAGTTAACAGACAAAGAACCATGGCTTTCATCCGCAAGATTGGTTGTGAAACCGGACATGTTGTTTGGCAAGCGTGGGAAGAGTGGCCTAGTAGCCTTGAATTTAGATCTTGCTCAAGTTGCTGAATTCGTGAAAGCACGCCTTGGCGTGGAGGTGATGCAAATTAATATCAATGGAAACTTAACTTCCGTTTTATGAAATTTATATCTACTCATATGTGGACTGCATTGTCAAAGGTTGAGATGGGCGGTTGCAAGGCACCAATCACGACATTCATTGTTGAACCATTTGTTCCCCATGACCAAGAATATTACCTTTCCATAGTCTCTGAAAGGCTTGGTTCTACGATTAGCTTTTCAGAATGTGGAGGCATTGAAATTGAAGAGAACTGGGACAAGGTAAGTTGATGCAAAGATGCAATAAATGTATGCTGCATAGGAATATGCCACGTCATTTATCTAAACAATATTTCAGTGATTTACCACATTATTTTCTGTTGTCAAAGTCGTCAGTCCCTTTTTAGCCACATCTGTTTTACTTCTTGATTTTATTTTATATTCTGATAGGTTTGTTCCCTAGACTAACTGTATTTTTCTGTTTATTCACACTTTTGTCTCCACTAGTGCACTTTTTAATTTTGATGAACGATGAAATGTGGCACTTATTTATTTGTTGATTTATTTCATTCAAACAGGTGAAAACTATATTTCTTCCTAGTGAAAAACCTATGACACTGGAGACATCTGCTCCTTTGATTGCCACACTTCCACTGGAGGTGCGTTATAAATAAACAATTTATGTTTTCTTCTTTGTGGTTTTATTTACTTGGAACTACACTTGTATTTTCCTTTCTACTTGACAATTCCACACTCATACATGTGGGAATTGTTTCCAAGTATGTGAAATTCATTCACCTCTGAAATCACTTTCCATGATTGCAATTGTGGAACCTACAATTGGAAATCATGTCCATTGATGTGAAAGCCATCCACCTCTAATATCACTTTCCATGATATAAATTGTGGAATCTTTAAGATCATGGAAGTAACTTTACCTATGCGAACAAGTAATCTAGCTCTTTTCATGGTTATCCTATCAATGTTATCGTGTCATATACGAGTGGACTATGTCAGAGTCAATAATGAAGGGGAAAGCTTATCTACTCATCTTCTTATTAGACACCCGTTGTTTCACATGTTTCCTAAGCTTCTCACCGCTGAATTTTTATGCCTTTCCTTTTTTATTTTTATGTTTTCGTTCGGCTGGTGCATATTTTGACTAGCATGTTCTGAATCTGCTTTGTTGGAATCAGGTTCGAGGGAAGATTGGTGATTTTATAATGGGCGTTTTTGCTGTATTTCAAGGTATGCAGTACTTAGCAATAAAACACAGTTGCTCTTTATCAATTACACAACATAAGAATTTACATCCAAACTTATGATATTTGTCACATTCAAGTAAATTACTTATAATTCAAAATGATATTAGGGTATTTAATGGGCTAACTACAAGTGAATTTGTTATGCATTTATTAGTCGAATGTTTTTGACTCCTTTTTCGTTCTAATGGGAGAAAGGGAGGCTAGGCAATTTTTTTCTTTTCCCCCTTTTTGTGTCTACTGATACTTGCTTGTTTGGAATTACCTTCTTGAATTCAATGGTGTTGTCAACTTTTCGTTTGCTTCATTATTCTTTCAACAGATCTGGATTTTAGTTTCCTTGAGATGAATCCCTTTACTCTGGTAAATGGGGAGCCATACCCCTTGGATATGAGGGGAGAGTTGGATGACACGGCTGCCTTCAAGAACTTTAAGAAGTACGCATTGGTTTTGAAAACAGATGGGAATGATTACTGAACTGTTCAATTTGAAAACGCCCGCTAATGTGTTTCCTGCTCTATCTTTATGCATTCAGGTGGGGTAGTATAGAGTTCCCTCTGCCTTTCGGAAGAGTTCTGAGCCCAACAGAAAGATTCATTCACTCATTGGATGAAAAGGTAAATGGAACTTCTTTATGCCACTAGATCATCTGAAATTGGCAACCCTTGTTGGTAACATGGCACGTTTAATTTGTCTTGTATATAGGCATTTTTATTGTTTAGCAGGATTGTTTGGGCCTGTGCGTAGGAAGATTCTGATAGGGAAATGTGTTATGTGCTGCCCTTACTTCCTCATTCTTGTTTAGGAATAGAACTTAAGCTTCCTGAACATAGAACAAAAGTAAGAATTAGCTTATGGACTACGAGGTTCGCATAGTTTCAAAAAATGGCTTACTAGTAATGCTTGTGTGTGTGTGCCCTTTGATATTCAGGCTGGAGCCTTAAATTCTAATGCAAGAGCCATGAGCAAACGCATCGCATTCTTCAACACAAAAATGTGCTTGATATTGGATTCTATTAGTTGATCCCAAGTCCACATATAGAGAATAGGTTAACTTATAGACTAGAAATGTATTTTGCTTGTTTCAGTGTTCTATCTAATGCTTTGTCATTTTTAAAACCAAGTTTGATCACTGAAGATGAACTTGCTTATGGACATCAAAACCTGTATGTAGTAATTATATCTTTCATTTTACCATTGCAGACCAGTGCATCATTGAAGTTTACTGTTTTGAACCCAAAAGGACGCATCTGGACAATGGTGGCCGGAGGTGGTGCAAGTGTCATATATGCCGACACAGTAAGTACTTTAACATTTGATATTCTAGCACCCACTATAACTCAACGTTATTAAATGTTATTTTTGGAGAATTTTTTACCTGTTGATGCTAATTCTTCTATGCAACCAACAGTTGATGCTGTTTTTCCTGTTAAACTAGGTTGGTGATTTGGGTTTTGCATCCGAGCTTGGTAATTATGCAGAGTATAGTGGAGCTCCAAATGAGGAGGAGGTGCTGCAATATGCCAGAGTTGTTATTGATGTAAGAAATCAAGCTTGGCCTTCTTTCCTGCATAAATTTATGACTTCTGAATCTTTTTTTGGATGAACATTCTATTCTTTGATGTCGATGTAGTGTGCCACTGCTGACCCTGACAGCCGTAAGAGAGCCCTTCTTATTGGAGGAGGTATTGCTAACTTCACGGATGTTGCGGCTACTTTCAATGGAATCATTCGGGCCCTGAGGGAGAAGGTGGGGTGAATTAACTTATCAAAAATGCGATCACATGATTTAGTTTCCCTTATTTTGATCATTTCTTTCCTGCATTAAATTATATTACTTTGTCCTGGGACAGGAATCCAAGTTAAAAGCATCAAGGATGCACATCTTTGTTCGAAGAGGTGGTCCCAACTATCAGACTGGATTGAAAAAGATGCGTGCCTTGGGAGAAGAACTGGGAGTGCCCCTTGAGGTATGACATGACATTCTGGATATAAGGCCACTTTTAGTTGGCTCTATGCATCAGAATTCTCAGCGTGTATTAAAAAAGATAGAACCACTTTCTGATTGTGGAAGTTGCTATATCTTACAGCCTCTGGAGTTTGGTTTAGGAACATGTAGCACCCTATTGTCATTCTAAAAATTGTTATCGGCTTTTTCTCTGCGACATATGACATGTAGAATATGTAAGGCACATTCGACATGGTTAGCTTTCTATAAATCAAGAAATTAGTACCAAACTATTGTGGCTCATGGCTAAAGGTTTTCATAAGTGGCTCTACCTAATCTGAAAAGCCATGGTATACTCAACCAATATGTTGAATGCAATATTGGCCTTTGAGGTCATAAATCTTGGGGGGAATTTGCAATTCCTCTTCGTGTTCATCTATGCCATTAAAATTTTGAAGATGCACATTCAATTCTAGTCTTATTGCAGCGAAATTGAAGTACACAACCTACATAAACCTGTTCTGTTTCTTTATGATAGTTTCTGCGAATCAGACTTTGACTGATTACTCGCAAACTGTGGTATCCCTTTTTTTTTCAAATTTTTTTGTATTTCCCCATCTGCCATGTTATTTGGAAAACCTTTTTACTTTCATGTCTGTAACTTGATTTTGTTAATTCTTCTTGTTGTAGGTTTATGGACCTGAGGCTACAATGACTGCCATTTGCAAGCAGGCTATTGATTGCATAATGTCTGCAGCATAGTCTCATCATTCTTTGTATTTTCATTTGTCACTGCACTGAGAAAATAATATTGCATGAGGCTTCCTTGAAAGGCATAAGCTGGATTGGACTGTTTGCTCTAAAAACGTTAATTCCCCTTCTTTGTTTTTTTTTTTTGAAATTTTACGCAAACCTATGCAATAATAATGACAAGTTGTAGATTAACTCACTGGTTTTCTATCCCAGTACTAGTTTATTTGTTCAAGGCTGTGTGATTTTTGTCAGCACTGGAATTTTGGCAGACTCCCGCGGAAAGAATGAAAAGAATCAATTTTTGAGAGGTTTATAAATGTCGAGCATCAGATGTCCCATGATATATTGCATGTATTAAAGGGGAAAATGGTATTTTGACAGAATATCAGTTCTGAAAGGTAAATATTTTATTGAAAATTATTTTTAAAAATGAATAAAAAATAAACTTAAAAGAAAATGTATTTTTATTAGAGCTATTCTGTGACTGATGTTTGAGACAAAAATGTGAAACCTCCAGCCTTGAATTAAGAGAAAACAAAATTATTCACCAAACATTTTGAGCTTGCTGGGTGTTGTAAGGGTGATTGTGAAAGCTGCAATTGGAATGGGCATGGACATTTGTCGGCTACGCTGGTTATAATGTCACGATGATTGGTTGGTTTACTCACAGAAATAAACTATTTGTACACGTAAGATTGTGTATATTTAATCTTTTTCATATCTTTCAGTAATGAACGTCTTGTGCACTTGATAATCGGCTAATTTGTGGATCTCTAGGGCAGTGTAAATGAAGTTGATGCATGTCTCTTAATCGACACAGCATATAGTGAAATTTCTTATGCCCTTCTTTGGGATATAGTCTCAAATTAAGTGCTTCTAGACTTTCATGCCAAATCATGCAATTTTCTCATTTTCTGCATTTATTTTTTCGTAAATTTGTTTGTGATATGGTGAATCAGGGCCTCAGACATCCGAACTTTGCTAGTAAGAATGGTTATAACAAAATTTGAACTAGAGAAATTTTATAATTAAAATAATTGTAGTTTATATTGGATTAAGTTGCTTTTTACTGCAAAAATAATAGAGGTTGATGAAAGTTAATGACGAGACATTTGCAATCAATGTAACCAAACTTTACGAATTTTAGGAAAGACTACACAACTTTTATAGTAACGATAAGACTGAAGATGTTTATAATGTCAAATATGAATGCAAGTGAATGAATCTCATCTCCTAACAAGTGAAGTGAACATTGAGAGATTCAAGATGTATGCCCTCCAATTCAATCGATCTGATGATGAATTAAAAACCTTGAAATTACTTACCCCACTAATCTTTTATTTTTTTGAAGTCAAACTCTTCTATAGAAAGGTATCAGTAAGCAGGTATGGGCACCTAGTACCAGCATAAGTTTATGGAAATGTTTTAAAGGCATACACTCCTATCACTGGTTAGGGCTTTATGGCTTTCATTAAAAACCCGAAACACATCATTTTCTTTTAGGTGGGGGTATCATAAATTCAACACCAACGTTATAACCATTTTAAGTATGTGGTTAGTACATCATAGGTCGACCAGATCAAAGAAATGGGGCTCCCATGCCACCCAAAAGACAATTTTCTTGCCCTAATGCTAAGCATTAGTCATGCCAATATGTTGGATTCGGATTGAATTTGATCAATTTGAATTCAATTTTAAAAATTGGAGCCAAATTTATTTCGTAAATCTGAAAGATTTTATTTGAATGAATCTGTTTGCTGAATGCTAAAACTTGCAGCTACTTCCAGTACTCAAATAATCATTTTCCACTCATTGCCAAAATCCAAAATTTTCTCGCCAAAATCACAAAGAGGATGTTGAAAAATCCTTTTATATCCGTTGGATGTTCTAAATAATATAGCCAAACAAACAAGCGACATGAAAAAAAAAAAAGTTGAAATAAGAACAAGCAAAAACTGCATAAATATACATCGTAGAGAACGTACATTGCATAATTTTTTCTAAAAAGCCAAACATTAACTATTACAACACGTTCTACATGTTCAACAACACTTACTTACGCAGTGCTTAATGGCCGACAAGACAATAAAGATAAGTTTGGAATAATTTGGTCATGGCATGATCTTGGTGTGCACCTAATGGTTCGCATTCATAGAGATGTAGTAGAATTAAGCTACAACTGACTTAAAACTCAGGAGGATAGATGAGACGATTCAAATGAGATTCAATCTAAATCCAACTTTCAATTTCCAATTTGCATTCAAATTTCAAAGACTCGGTACCAATACCATTTAAGACCACTTTTAGAGCTTTCCCTAACTTACTAATATTTGTCTCTGTGACCTCAGAAAGCTATAGCCTAATAGGGACCTTCCCAAAGAAGAATGTCTCTGCAACTATAAAATGGAAGGGCATGCAACACTTCTCTCTACTTTCACAGAGAGAGAGAGAGAGAGAGAGAGAGAGAGAGGTATTAAGATGGAGAAAGTTGCTAAGATGGTCTTAGTCCTCACAGTCTTTCTGGTGATATTTGGATAAGACGTTGAAGGAGGGAGGAGCATCAAGGAGAAGGATGACCAGCCACAGAACTTCTTTGGAGGCATTGGAGGCTCATTTCCAAGCCCAGGCTTCACTGGATCTTTCCCTAGCCCAAGATTTGGGTTTGGCCCAACCAGATTTTGCTCATTCCCTGGGGTCCGATGTGCCCCGATCCAGCCCACTATACCCAGTGGGTCCTATAGTGGTGCTCCTGGTGGGGATAGCTCACCATGAGAGAGAGAGATGTGATAGTTATTTGGGTGTCTGGTTTGGAGTTCATAGTTTAGGGTTTGCTGGTTTTGAGTGTCTACAGTGTTGTGGTCTTTTTTATGTGTTCTGTTTGCAGTATTAATTACTGCGTAAGTAAGTGTTGTTGAACATGTAGAACGTGTTGTAATAGTTAAATGTTTGGCTTTTTAGAAAAAATTATGCAATGTACGTTCTCTACGATGTATATTTTATGCAGTTTTTGCTTGTTCTTATTTCAACTTTTTTTTTTTTTTTTTCATGTCGCTTGTTTGTTTGGCTATATTATTTAGAACATCCAACGGATATAAAAGGATTTTTTCAACATCCTCTTTGTGAGTTTTGGAGAGAAAATTTTGGATTTTGGCAATGAGAAGAGAAAATACATTAGTTTATTAGTACTGTATGAGAATATAATTAGAGAAAAATGGTTTGGGTTTGCTACGGTACCCAAATAAATTATTGCTCATCACTTTTTTTTGGGTTTCTACGTAATATTTTTGGTGAGACTTATGAATATTTGGGTATATTCACTTTTTGGGTTCACTTGTTATTTTTTTGATAGAGTTTATCACTTTTTGGGATAGAATTTATTATTTTTTGAGGCGTTTTTTATTTTTTGGTATACTAAAATTTTACTTTTTGGTGCTATAGTATTTTCCAAATAGTTAAATTTAGGGTTAATTTAACTAAATAAATAAATTATACCTTGATCCCCTCATGATTATCACTTAATTATTTGGACCCCTCACATTTAGAATATTACTCCTACACCTTCTGACGTTTGTGCACGTCTGACACATAATCCCTTATCGTTGATATTTGTTAATATAACCGTTAAAAAATATGATTTCATCCTAATAAAAAATTATAATTTTCATACTACTCTTACTTTAATGGGTCTGTTATACTCTAAAGTTCAAAACAAGCTTACCATGTGAATACTCAATATAATACAAATATTTATATAATATTCTTTATATCCAATTGGGAGGTTTATGTGATTAAGTGACAAACATAAAAGGGTCTAAGTATAATTTATTTATTTAGTTTTAGACGGTAAACTGACGGTTGTTAGTTTGAGGTGTACATTAATACAAATTTCTATTTGTGAGGATGCAAATTAAAATTTTTGATATTTGAGGGTACAAATTAAGATTCAAACGATGTTTTAAGGTGTAATTTGAAATTAGCTATAAAGTTTAATAGTTTTTTTTTTTTGAAACTGTAGTTAAAACAAAACGTATAATTAAAAACTTAACCCAAGTCCTTTCTTTTTTAATTTTTGGTGGGGGTAATGTTTTCTTTCCTTTAAAATCTCACCAGCAAGAGATTGATACACCCTTACTTCCAAATATTTCGGTTTTTTTTTTTTTTTTCATTTCTCCCCACCCTCTTCTTAAGTACTTATCATCGAAAGGATTAGTTTCAAGTGATCCCTATTATATATTAAATGATAAAGTATTAAAACATATATAATATACAAACATACTTTTTACTTTTTCTTTTTCTTTTTGATGTGAAATTCCCTCAACAGCTTAAGTTTTCATGATCCGATTTCGAGATATTCTTGCTTGAATTCCCAGTGAGTTAGTAATAACACATGCATGGGTTAATGTTGATATTTCTAATTGAAGTTGCACCCTTGAGGCTTTATATTGAAATCTCCCACTACTTCTTGTCGCGTCAATCTACATACATAAAACAAATAATTTCTTAGCAAGAGGCTTTGGTTACTAAGTCTTCCCTCCATAATTAATTTCTAATTTTATAGAATTTTAAATTATTTAATTTGATATCAATAGTTTCTTCAAATCATATTTTAACATGTGCTACTTATAATTACTCATTTCTTTTCCCACTAATTACCCACCATCTATTTAAACTTTAAATATTTCTTTGTCAACTTTTCAAATATAAGAATACTAGTTATTACCTGTGCCTGAAGAGACAGAATAAAAAAAAATGGTAACACAATAAATATATTTGTATTCATATTCAAAATTAAATTACAAATATAAAGAAGAGATAAATAAATTTAAGCATTGATTTATAGTGGGATAAGAGGTGATATGCGGTAATGGTGGTGGTAGGAGACGGTGATGGTTGTGATAAAAGCGACAACGTTGGTGGTGGCGGTGGAGGCAGCGACGGTGGCGGTGGTGGCAGTGGAGTTGGGGGTGGAGGACGGTGATAATGATGGCGATTGTGGTGGTGGTGGTGGTGGCGGCGACGGCGATGGTGGTGGTGGCGACAGTGATAGTGACAGTGGCAGTGGCGTTGGTGGTGGTGGTCATGGAGGTGGCAGTGGTTGGAGGGGTGGTGGTGGTAGAGATAGTGGTAGGACGGTTTGAAACACTATTTTTTTTAAAAGTATTTATGAAAAATAATTTTTAGAAGTACTTTTAAAAAATCACTCCAAACACACCCTTATGGACCAATTTTTTCTATTAAATTTAGGATGTCAATATTAGCCGTAGGATTAATTTTAAAGTAAAATTTAAAACGATCTCAACCGCGAATAAAAAAAGTTATTTTGTTTATCTTTTGATATTTGAATTGTAAGCTACTTTATTATATAGATAAAATAGAGAATGATTAAAAAAAAATAACAAAAAAATCTGAGTCATAAGTTTTGTGCATCCTGGATGAGACCACTGGTATGGAAACGATACATCACTTATTGATCGTTACAATAGGTCTCGGCAATGGGCCAGGCAAGTCAGGCCACCCATGATTTTTCAGCCCATAGTCGGTCTCTGGGCCGGGTTGGGCCACCTATGATTTTCAGCCCATAGTCAGACTGACCGCTTTTTGGGCCTAAAGTGGACCTTATAAAAAATATATTTTTTTTATGTAAAAATTACAAAAATGACATAAATTAATAAAGTATGACATGAAAAAATAAATTAAAAAAAATAAAATTCATTTTAATTGAGTGTGAGTACTCTAACAATTTCTTTCTAATGCTTCAACTCTAACTTCTTCGAATTAGTAAGTTATACTAAAAAAAGTTAGATACAAAAAAAAAAAAAATGAGCTTCAATGGTGAAGAAATATTGAAATAATGAGGTAGGGTTGGGTAATTTTCTTGTTAGGGGCATTATTGTAACTGTAACGTTATAATTGGTTGGGCTAACGGGCTTATTAACGGACAAATCATTAGGCTTTAATGGGCTGCTAAATAGGCCAGCCCGTTGAGCCCTGGCCCAAAAAATTCAGCCCAAGCCATACCCGCCGATCCAGCGGACTACCTATGACTTGCCACCAGTATGGGCTGGGCAGCCTGTTAGCCCATTAGACTGCCGGGTTTTTTTGCTGAGGCCTAATTGCATAGCAGCAATTGATTTGTTTTATAGGTAATACAAAGGAGGAAAATAACCAAATTCATTACTATAAATTATTATAGAATCAAATAATTTTTAATTTGGTTTCGCCAGGATGTGGAACCCATAAATTTTTAATTTAAAAAAAATCTATGTGATGAATATTGAAATAAAAGTGTCCTTCATCATTTGTTACATAAAATTTAAAATAATACGATAGAAATACAACACAAACACGACTCTAACAAGCAATTGACATTCTAATTGAGATGTCCACAGTCAAGCTCTTTAGGTTGACATTACAATCAATGATCAAAGTTTTATTTTGGTGCATTGTTTCGGTCACCTAGAAATTAGAAACGTTTCAATATGTTTCGAAAATATTTCAAACCGATTCGAAAAAATAATAAAAATTTAAGAATTATTTTTTCAAAGTATTGGTCGAAATATATTAAAAAATCTTGAAATACCTTGAAATATGTCAAAATAATTGTGCAAATACATTGAAATATAATAAAATATTTCAAAATATTATGGAACACCTCGAAATATTAGAATTTCGATTTCATCATTGATTTGTTTCGGTCTCTTTGAAAACAAAAATATTTCGAATTTTTCGACCATTTCAAAATGATATTTTGACCCTTAATTCTAATTGAGATGTCCACAGTCAAGCTCTTTAGGTCATGCATATCTTATTCAATTTGATAATTGGGGCTAAATGAGAAAAACACAGAAATAACTACCCTATATTAATATCGTTAATTGTCAAAACGAAAATAGCTTAGTTGAGAGAACGCTAGTTCTGAAGGTTGTGTTAACGTATTATGGGGCATTAACAAATGCAATATCTCATACTAACGCTCCACAATGCCTCGCAATGACTAAGCTTAGAACCAGCTTCGAATTTTAGAACCTTTTATATTAGATTGATTGGGTTTTAATCAAGAATTAAAATTTTATTTCGATGTATTATTTCGATTACCAAAAAAACGAAAATATTTCAAAATAAAATAAAAACGAACAAAAAATTTGAGAATTTATTTTAAGTATATTCCGAAGCCTTGGTTGAAAAGTCTTATAACACCTCGAAATAGTATGAAATATTAGTAGAAATATGCCAAAATATTTCAAAACACCTTAAAATATTATAATTTCGATTCAATTACTGATTCGTTTCGATTTACTTAAAAAAGGAATCGTTATGATCATTTCAAAACACGTCAAAATATTAAAATTTTGATTCAATCACTGATTCATTTAAGTTTTTTTTTAAAAAAAAACGTTTTCATCATTCCAAAATAATATTTTGATCCTTGCATGATTTTTGTCGGATTATAATCTAGATCATACAATTTGTGCTCAAACCTCAATGACTCAAGGCTCGAATTGCAAATTAGCGATTTTAGAATGAATTCAGCACAAATCCGCGAATTCAAAATATGATATTTGAGAATCCATTTCTACAATCCGCGAACTGGACAAAATTTGGGATCCACTCCACAATTTCTTAAAAATTTTAACTAATTTTTAATTGGTTTTTTTTAGTGTGAGTACATTTTTTTGGACTTATTTGAGAGAAAGTGTATGAATAAATATTTTACTCTATTAAGTTCAATTTTAATAAAACATCTTGTGATTA